AGCGTTTTTAAATCACAGAAAAAAAAGATGCATACACGGATTTCCTCATTCCTGGGTTACCAGTCACAAAAGATAACACTCCCAAAGTTTAAGAGAACTTTCAATTGTGACCACTTACGGAGTGGGGAGCCAAGCCCGCGATGGCAGCCCACAACGCACAGGCTTTACTCCATTGTTCTCACCACCTTCTTGTTTTCGGAATTCATTTTGCAAATGCCGAAAAGAAGAAACGGCAGCAGCAGCCTGAACAGGCTCTGCTCCCGATACCACAAGACCAGGTTAAAGCCAGGTTGGACGGGGCTCTGAGAAACACGGTCTAGTCGAAGGTGTCCCTGCCCACCGCAGGCGGCTTGGAACTGGATATTCGTCAAGGTACACCCTTCCACCCCAAACCGATCTGTGACTCTGATTCTATGACAACCCGCAGCGGTATGAGAGGAGCGGGGCCACAAAGCGGCTGGGGGCGGGCAGGCAGCTCCTCACGGCGGGGCATCACCTCCGCGCTGGGGGCACCAGGGACCCGGGGCGGGTAGCAGGGCCCGACACCGGGACCATTGTTCCGGGAACAGGCGAAGCCTGTGCTGGCACGGGCGAGGAGGAGGAGGCGGCGGCCGTACTCCGCCGGGCTGCCGTAGCGCCCGAAGGTCACGGGCAGGAGGCGACGTGCCACCACGCGTGTCGCCACGGGGGCGACGTGACCGGCGCTCTCCTCCCACCCCGCAGCCCGAAGCGGGCAGGGCGGCCCCGCACCTGCTCACCTGGCCCGGGCCGCCCCCTCCCCGCCCCCCCCGCGGAGGCGCCGAGAGCTGCCCCGGGGGGCTCCTCCCGCCCCCGCCCCGCCTCGGCTCTGACGTCACGGCGGGGGGGCTCCCCCCCTCCCCGCCCCCCCCGCGTTGTCGCCGAGAGCTGCCCCGGGGGGCTCCTCCCGCCCCCGCCCCGCCTCGGCTCTGACGTCACGGGGGGGGGGGGGGGGGCGAGCCGGAGCGCTGGGGGGGGCGCCGAGGATTGCGCGGCGCGCAGGCCCGTCCCTTTGTGACGTCACGGGGAGCGGGGCGAACCTGGCCGGGCGGCGGCGTGGCCGGCGGCCCGCGGGCTCCGCCACAGCCACCGCAACCTGTTGCTGCTGCCGCCGCCAGCGCGCCCCGCCGGCACCGCCGCCCCCTGCCAGAAATGAAAACGGGGAGGGGGCGGAGGGGAAAGAGAGCAGGGGGGAGAAGGGTTAAATGAAAGCGCCGCCGCGAAGTTGTGACCGCGGGAGCACCGCGGCACATTGTCCGCCCCCGTCCCTCCTGCCTTCCTCCCCCGAGAGCCGCGCTCGCACCCCCTGCCCGGCGGTGCGGGAGCGGCGCCGCATTGTTCGCCTCGGCGAGCCCGTGGAGAGCCGGGGTTTGGGGCGATCTCTCCCTTTTCCTCTCCCCCAGCTTTAATTATTAACACCGCGGTTTCCTCCCCCCCACGTCCCCCCCGCCCCGCTTTTGTCTGCCTGCCTGGGAAACGTGGACGCCTCGCGTGTTTCGCCACACTTTCCACCCGCCGTTCCCGTTTCGATGCCATAGTTTAAACTCGCCGGCCCCGGGCTCCCCTCTCCTCTGCAATGCGGATGTATTTTAATTCGGAAATTTAGGGGGTGTAGGAGAGGGGGGGGCGGAAAGGAGAGGGGGAGGCAGCTCTGAAATATCGCGCACCACCAGCCCCCCCACCCCCAACACACATACATCGTTCCACCACCACCCCCGGGCAGCATTTCAGCGGGGCGGGCAATCGATACCGGGCAGTCAGCTGGAGTCAACTGCAGTTTTTACCAAATCTATATAATAGCGAGGGAAAGTGTCCCGAAGGTCACCCTCCCTGCCCAGGAACACCCCTCTGTGAAAGAAATCGGCGCAGGCGACAAGACACGATATAACCTACAACTTTTAAAGCCTCGCATCAAACATACCCAGAAGCGAGGATTCATAATTTTGGGGGAGGCAGAGGGGGGGACAATATACATATATATACGTATAATTTTTTTAACGTTCACATAAAAATCATTATTCCCTCTACTGCATATATGGATAATCCCCTTCGTTTTTCCAAACGAAAAGAAAAACTGCCCCGTGCCAATCAAAACGTAACTGGAGCACGAACAAAAATCTAACTACCCATCCACATTTATATGTTTAAAGGATTAGACAATTACAAGGGATTGGTTAAGCGGCTGAATAAAGAGAGGCAGAAATACAGCCCGGGCTGCGCTGGATTAGCCCAAATTTTCGAGCCATCATAATGAATTATTTTTAAAACTGTACCGAGCCATTTTCCTCATTATTCCGGTCAATCCCTAGGAACGCGTTGCCCGTAAGGCGATCCCCAGCTGCTCCGGCGTCTATCGCAAGGCAGAGCAGCCGAGGATCACACACAGGAGATGGGATGTGGTACTGCGAGAAACCAGCTCGCCATAACCAGACACTCGGTTTCAACTTAAAGGGCTTCCAACAACCACCGCCGCCGCTTCACGAGACGGGGATAGACACACGTAGATCATTTAAAAAAAAAAAACAAAACAAAACCAAACAACACAACCAAAACCCAACCAAAAAAAACACCCCAAACAAATCTCTCTTCGCATGCAAAAGCGCAGAATTAATAAAACCACTTGAAAATGCAGTTCGGTGACATTATCGCAGCAGCCCCCCGCGTTTCATCTAAAACTAGATTATGATTGTGTCATTTGAGGTCAATACATTTATTCACCGGAGGAATCGCTACACAAATCTGGTTTTATAACCAAACTGGATAGGCTTGCCCGTTAAAAGGGGCCTCTGAAACTCCCCCACCACACCACAGAAAAAATCAAATTCAGCATCACATTTGTTCCCAAAGCCTTAGAGCTGCAGGATTAGCTATAAACTTGACATTCACTGCCATTTCCTAAAACTGGGAGTCAAACGATATATGTTATGACCACTTACGTATTTCTTTTGAATTATATTCCTCTTGGGTCTTTCTTTGCTCATTCTGGTATCCAAATTCTGATTGCAAAAGGGGACAATTGCTTCATGAATTAAAGCCGCGACAATTAAAAAAAAAAATAAAAAAATACCGAAAAAATCCAGGGGGGAGGGGGTTGTTTGTAGTGGTATCTTGTAATCCGACTTTCTTTCCTCACAATGTGATTCTCCTAGCAATAAATCCGAGAAATGGGGGACGGAAAAAAAAAAAAGACGAATGCGAAGGAAACAAAAAAAAAAAATTCACTTTAGTGAAGCATTATAATGGAAAATATCCCCCAAACACAAAAAAAACCGACGCCCTTGATATCCCCTTTTCTCTTTCTCAAGCCGCCTAAGCGATCTGCAGGTCCTTAGTGTCAGAGCTGTAGTTACATCTTGGAGGAGGAGAGGGGCCGGGAGGAGAAGATAAATAATCGGGACGTTGGAAGTCACGTTTGTGCCGCTGCAGCAGGGAAAGCAGCAGGGACAACTCCAGCAGCGGCGGCGGCTCCGGCGGCAGCAGCGGCGGCGGCGGCGGCAGCGAGGGCTGCACGCACCGTGTGTGTCTCCGCTCCTCCAGCTCCCCCCCTAACCAATGAGAACAGCTCTCCGCCAGCAACTTTAAATGGACCTGGCTCTCTTTTTTTTTTTTTTTTTTTTAATATATATGTCTGCGCGTGTATGTGTGTATATATATATATATATAAATATATATATATATATACACGGACACACGCACACACACACATACATACATACACGGCTTAGGGCTCGCCCTCAATTCCCAACCGGGACAGCAGCCGCAGCGCCGCGCTCAGCGCATGCAACAGGCCTCGCTGAACACTCCCTGCGGGTCAAGCGTCACGCACTTCCCTCTCCCAACCCCCACCCCTCCTCCCACCTCCTTTCTTTTGGCATTTAAGCGCGGCCACCTGGCAGCCAAGGTCGCCGCGAGCTCTGCGCCGCAGCCCCAGCGCGGAGTTTTCCGACGGTCCCTCAGCGCGCAGCACGCTCGGTCGCCCTGCCCTGCCCCCTCCCCGCCCCGCAGCAGCCTCCCGCCTGCCAAGGGCTCTCCCTTCCGCTCCATCCTTGCGCCTGCCGCGCCTCCCCCGGGCTTGGGCACGCACCGGGGGCCCGCTGCGCTGGCAGCACCTGGAAGTCACGTTTGGCCGCGCAGGGCCCAAGAATTATCCTTGCTCGCGAGGAAAGTTGTAGTTCCCTCGCCACAAAATGGCGAACGGCGGAGAACTACACCTCCCGGCGTGCCCCGCGCGCCCGCCCGCCGATTGGCTGCGGGGCGAGGAACCCCCTTCGCCACGCTCGTCCTTCTCCCCTCCCCCGCCTCTCTGCGTTGGTTTCCCCCTCCTGCTTGTCTCCCCCCAGCCCCCCCCTGCGGCGCTCGGTGGTAGAGGCTGGGGGGGGCACGGGGGGGTTGCACGGCAGGAGGAGGAGAGCGAAGGGGAAGTTTATTGGGAATCGCTGACAGGGAGTGGGGAGGCAGGCAGGCGCCGCGGGAGGTTGCCGGGAGAGCGCGGGGATTAATGTGTCTGGGTTGGGCTGGGAAGTGGCGGCACGAAAACTTTGTGTCTGTGGGCTGCGCCCGCCGAGGAGACGGCGGTCTGGGTCTGCCGGACAGGCGGACAGACAGACCGCCGGCTGGACAGAGAGACCGCCTGCCGGGCGGGCGGGCGGTGTCAGCTCGGGACAGGCTGCCGGGCTGAGCGAGCTCTGCGAGGCTCGCCCGGTGTGTCTCCAAGGTGTCCTGAGGTCGCGCCTCCTCTGCTGCCGGCGCCGCCGCGCTGGGGCTGCCCCGCGGGACCTGGCTCGGTGGTCCGGCGCTCCCGAGAATAAGCTTTCTGTGTGGATGGATGTGTGCTTTCAAATCCCGCCGGAAGCTCGGCGGTTTCCCAGGAGCAGCGGCCCGTCCGCGCCGAGAGCTGGTGCCGAGGCCGGGCAGCGCCGCCCTGCCCGATCCCCGGCGGGATCTGCCACGGGACCCGCCGGGCGGCACCTGGAAACCCGGTGTCAGTGAGAAATCCTGACATTCGATTAAATTATTTTTTTCCCCTTAAGTTAAAACAAAAAATAGTAGGAAACTGGGTGCGGAGTGGAAGGTGCATCTTCAGTGAAAACCCAACAGTTCTTTAATGGCGGATTAAGCTGTTGGAGGAAATCCAGAGGAGGGTCACGAAGCTGATAAGAGAACTGGAGCATCTCCCCTTCAAAGACAGGCTGAGAAAGTTGGGGCTGTTCAGCCTGGGGAAGAGGAGGTTGCGTGGAGACCTCATAGGAACCTTTCAGTATCTGAAGAGGACCTACATGGAAGCTGGAGAGGACCTCGTCGTCAAGAAATGCAATGATAGAACAGGGAATAATGGGTACAAATTGAAAGGGGAAATTTAGGTTAGATATTAGAAAGAAATTTTTTACTGTGAGAGTGGTAAGACACTGGAACAGGTTGCCCAGGGAGGTTGTGGATGCCCCAACTCTGGCAGTGTTCAAAGCCAGGTTGGATAAGACCTTGAGCAACGTGGTCTAGTGCGGTGTCCCTGCCCATGGCAGAGGATTTGAGACTAGATGATCTTTAAGGTCTGTTCCAGCCCCTTAACATTCTATGATTCTATGGTTACATTTACTCCAGGGCCAGGGAAGAAAGAGAGTCATTGATGATCTCCCTTCGTGAGATATCACCATACCCAGTGGCCATTTGTACTTTTCTGTACAACTCTGGCGTAAACTCTGAGGTGAGGTACCTCTATGCTAATGCTTATACACTTATATAGTTATATATTTAAGTAACACTAGGGACTTCATGCTGTCTTCCACATGCAGTTTTTATGTTCAGATCCTTTCTGGAGAGTATTTTTTTGCTCTGCAGGGGCGAAAATTTCTGTGCAAGGCTCTTGAGTGGCAATGCTCAAACTCAGGAGAGCAGGAGACACAGAACTTGCCAGAACCTCACTCACTGATTCCTAGTCTTCTGTCTTCACTGTGAGGCCATCCTTCCTCACTTATGTAGATAAGTGAGCATATTGTTCTCCCTTTACCTTAGAAATATGCAAATCATGTTTAAGACACTAAATAGAAAAAATAAGCTATGTCATGATTTCTTAGTTTTCCCTTCACTTCTTCATGCTTACTGCTAATTATTTTGGGACATTTTTCCTAATCTTGTGTAATAAAAAAATGGGGTACAAAATGATCTCTGTGTGCTTGACCTCATCCAAAATCAAGCTTTTATGGTAATACTACTTGGGATCAAGTTAGTCTTTTACAGCCTTTTCTTTAGGCCTTCTGTAGGAAAATATACCTTATTTCTAAGTGCAAGTCTGAGGAGAGTATTTTGTTCCTTTAAATTGGAAATATGCACACTTCTTGGACTGTTTAACTTTCTGCCCTCACTTATTTTTATTAAGGTGTTTATGTAGCATGAAGGTCTAGGACATAATTGGAAGAAAATGCTTTTGTCTCAGGTGTTCTTTGATTAATAATGGTGAGTCTGTGATTTTCCAAGAGACATTTTGGAAAGCCCAAAAAGACAAAGATTCATGTATTTCTGGGTCAAGAATTGAGCAAAAAGGTTCTCGTAGAAAACCCACCTGGCTTTTCTCAAATAAAATGAGGTAGCAAAACCAACTATTTCTCTCCTTACTTTGGAGATTACTTCCTGAATGTCCTTAAAGTCTTGGGGTGTTGCTATGTTTGCTGCTGTCTTTTGTGCCATGTGTTGAACAAGAGCTTCCTGTCAGTGCAAACTAATGAATTTTCTTCTTGAGGCTTCGTGGCAGAAACCTATCCCGTAGATCCGTGACTCTATTTACATTTGTGTTCTGTTATACAGAGCTTTGTATTATGCACATGCTGAGTATCATGTATCCGTGGTTGTTCTTGCCTTTCAGTTCTAGCTTATGTGCATTTTGGAGACTGACCTTTTAAATATTCAAGCTGAACTGGTTTACTGTACTCGTTTACATTTTTAATTAAATGCTGTTACAATAGTACTTAGTATCACAGGTTAACTGCTACTGATATCAGTGTTTGCCATTACATTTGATCACTTTCTGTCTTTTTTTTTCTAATTTGATAGCAAGTTTCATCCTGGTCACTTCCAGCTATAACTGTGCCTTGAAGATGTTTGAGAGGTGACTAACATTAGAATGGTAGAGTTTCCTTGTTTTCATCTCATTTATTTCTTCTTCGTTGTAAGAAATCCTTTTACAGGAATTACACACATTTATAAAGGAGTCTCCAAACTGGATTTATATGATCTGTAGTTAGTTTTTAATCACTGTCCAGCGTCAACCTTTCCAATAACTTGCAAAGCCAGAACGGGCTCACTGATCTGGTGTATGATACTATTGTTCAAAAAGATTTGAGTTTTTTTTTTGGGGGGGGGTTGTTTTTTTTGGGAGGGCAGTGATGATATTGTGGATTTGTTCTTTGCATGAGCATAACACATTTTATGCATTGTGCATTTGGACTTGTGCATACGAAGCATCTTAGGTGTGGTTATCTCTGAGCAAGAGGTGAAATATGGTCATCTTCTAGCATATAAGATAATCTTCTAGCATGCAGTTCAGTGAAAAGTGAGAGGAAATTTCATTAAGAAGGAACCTTGGTGATACCTCTCCAGCTACTACAACTTTCATAATACTTGCCTAGTTCACATCTCAATGAAGATAAAATCCCTTTGAGGTTATAGGAAAAGAACATTCATCCTGTCTGACTTACATATGACTGCACTTTTTTTTCTTTCTTTTTTTTTTTCAGTTTTTTTTTTTCAATCAGGGACTACTGCTTTTGACACTTTCAAACTTAAAGAGCAGGTGTGTATGCAGATTGGATTGGGGTGTATCAGAGTTCTGGGGCAAGATTTTTAGTAAGCTGTTGTGAAAGGTCCTTGTATGGGTGCTGGTCAAAACAAATAAAGAAGAATATTTAGTTCTTCAGGAAAATGAGGATTTACTATAAACCAAAGCACAACCATTTAAGTTTTTTTGTTCTTATTTCTTCTTTTTGGTCAAACAGATAAAACAATAGGCACAAGCAGTACAGGGAAGGCAGAAAGAACATGGGGTGAATTCAAGAGCCATAATTCAACAGTCAGCAAACAAAGGGCATGATGCCAGACAAGTTCAGCCATAAAGGAGCCTTGTCTTGGGGGCAGGCTGTGATTGTTTGTGGACAGATGGCTGCTTACCAGTTAATAAAAATAACTTCTGGATACCTTTTCTTCAACTGTGTTGTGTTTACCTGAATTATGCCTGCCTCAGAAAAGATAAGATTAAGTTTTCTAGTGCTGAATAGGTTTTCTGCATCTGAAAGGGATACAGATTTGAATTCCAAGATCTTATCTCTTGTGTAGAAAAAAAGCAAAATGTTTTGTACACTGAGAAGTGTCAGGGTGGAAGAGGGTCCAGAACTTTGCCCTGCTGGATGCAGAACATGCTTCTAGCCCTAGAATGAGATTGGCCATCTGCAGAGATGCAGTAATGCATGGGGGATTTTTGGGACTTAGTTCTGAGGTTTGAAAGAAGCTTGATAGAGTAGGTAAAGAGACTTTAAAAATGGACCCCCAGGTTTGTAAAATTGAGGCATGTTCCTATAGATTAGCTTTTTCTGCTATTAATGATGACATCATTTATGTGTAGCACATTTTGTTTCGAGTTTGAGAAGACGGAACTTTACCACATGCAGACTCTTTCCTGTAGCAGGTGGAAGAATGTGGAGACCATCAAAGGCCTCTGTCGATAGATAACTTGCCACTGGCTTGAGTTGCTGTCTAGACCTGACATTCCAGTTTCCACACTTTCCAATTGGGGTTCCCTTCCACTTTCTGTCATGCTTTACATCCTATCTGTCCTGTACTCATATTCTGCTTTACTGTTTTGCTTTGGTCTTAAAAGCCCCAAAGCACGTTAAAGCAATATTGGAGTGGAATATTAAAGATATCATTGCAATACATATCTAAGAGAAAAACAGCTACTTCTGGGAGTGGTTCCCTTGGGGAAGAGGGAAGTAGAACTTCCTTTTATTTCTTCCCATGGGGAAATAGAGATGTGAGTAGCCGATTGCTGGCTATCAGTTTGGCCACTTCCCTACAACTTTTTTCACACGTTAAATATATGCATAAATGAACACATTTTTTTAAACATACACATGCAAAAATGCAAACATAATGGCCATGCAACATAGTAAGCCAGTGTACATGCAAGGTGGTGTCTCTTCATGTGGGTCTAAGGGTTTCCCAACAGCAGCTTCCATCATGCAGTTAAGCTCTACTTGTGTAGTGGATTCTGTATGCACAGAGAGGCCGGATTCATGCACTGCAGATTTATGCACGTGATTTAAAGTCCTCTGAGTAATTGAGACGTGGTGGTGCCTAGCATCTCCAGGATCCTCAAAGCAGCCGTACATACACGTGCAGACAGACACTATGCAGATGGTCAGATTGAAAGGATATTAAAGTGGCTAAGTTAAGCACTGAAAAGTTACCAAATGCCAGAATTGGGGAAATGCTTATGCAATCTTAATTCTATCCATACATCTATATATTGCTTTGTAATAATCTTAAAATAGACTACATACCTTTCCCCCCACCTCCATAGGATGATTGGGTTTTATTCAGTGTGTTAAGCAAGTCTGCTCTGGGGATGAATTAGAGTACATGCTGAAGGAGAGAGAGCATTGTCTGTTGAACTCTTACCCTCCTATGTTCCTGTGAATGTAAGAAGGGAAGACATAATCTCATTGTTAAGGCAGCTGAATGTTGCTTTGGAGAAGTTGATCCTCTGCCAAGGAGTGTGATGCTGGGTAAGCCATTTACATCAATCTTTTAATAGTGGCCAGGTCCGCACTACTAATTTGTACATAAATAGCTACAGTTGTGAGGTAAGTGATGAGTTGTGACTTGTGACCATCACAGCTCTTTGATCTGAATCTCCTAATGTGCAGGATACTTTGTTCTCCCACTTGAAAACGTAGAAGAGGAGATGGGGAAATAAATATGTCTGTGGTTGCTAAAGTGTTCCTGTTGTAGCTCTTGCATTGTGTTCCTCATTTTATGGGTTCTCTTAGGACTACACATGTGCATCTGCACCAAAGGCTGGTAGAAGCCTTTGAACACTCAAAGAAAATGCTTTGCTTAGTACTAGCAAGACCTGGGTTTTAGGTACTTCGAGACTCTTCAGATCTTAATTTCTGACTGCCTCAGCTTACAGTCTGTAAAATGGAACTAATATATTCGTTTAGCACGCAAAACTGACGGAAACATATTGCTTGTGGACTGTCATGGTGTTCTCAGTGCAAGCACATCAGAAAAAGCACCACAAATCTCTTCATTTGGCTCTTTGTCTGCCTTTTCTCTATTGAATTTAGTACTATGTTAGCCTTTCTTTCCTTTGAATTTTATTTCACTCCTTTTTACAACTGGCAATGTAAGGTTGCTTGTCCTTGCCACATTGTTCAGCATATACTGCAGTTTGCTCAGTTGCCCTGCATCTGTTGAGACATAGGACTGTGGGACAGTAAGGCTTGAGGCACACAAGCTTGAACCAAATCCTCATACGTACACAAGCTTGAACAAAAAATGTGAAATGGGTATGAACTTCTGATTTTGATTTGGTGCAAGTTCCTGCACAAACTGTAATTTTGCTTAAATGTGAACAATTTCAGTTGAGTTAGTAATTTTAACAATTTCATTACACTGAAGTAAGATGCTTTTATGTGGAAATAAGAGGTCTATGAGGAAGAAGGGGAACAGCAGTGTCTTAATGGACTGAAGAGGGAGTGGAGAGAAATACTCCATCCTTCTTCCTCCTTCTCTTCTTTTTCCATCTCTTGAATGTGCTCATTCAAAAGTCTGTCTGTCTTCCTCCCTTCTCTCCCCCTAGCCTTATGAAGAGTATCATGCTTACTTTGAGCCACAGGGAAGATCATGTGACCAGTGCAGTCATGGTTGTGATCAAAAGACAATGTTGGATCGATGGGCAAGGGGAGACTCTTTCTGCGGCCAAAAGAATCATGGGACAGTGCTGGAGGAGGGGAAGAAAAGATGACTACCTTGTCAGCATTTCATTGTTGGCAAGTGGCATGGGAAATACAGGAGAAATTGAGAGGGGAAGGTGGAGGGTCGGACTGGAGCAAGTGCAGAACCAGGTAGGTTGTGAGAAGGGAGGACAGGAGAAAGGGGCAGGGAATAGGTAGATGGAAAGGAGCATGGGCTAGCTTTGCTGTAGAAGTCGTGTCTGGTGATTTTGGAGGAGGAAGGTAAGAGGCAGCACAGGTTTTGGTGCTCCAGGGTGGGCCAGAGGCTCTAGAGACTCTCAGGTCAGCTAACACGCCCCACAAACCTGATATTTGCATGTCTCCCTTTCCTGTCTGCACATCAGCTGTCTGGGCAGAGCCTGTCTTCCAGGGCCATTTGCTTTAGCAGCAGGCAACACCAAAGCCTTTCTAGGAAAGAAAGGCCTCACTTATTTGAGGTGGCTTAATTCGCAAAGAGAGAGTACATATGGCTCTTGAGATGAGATGTTGCAAGCTGAAGTCCATCTTTATAGGCAGTAATGATGCTCCTCTCAAGCAGAGGACACACTCAGGTTTCCTGTTGGAAAAAAAAAAAGTCTCAGTTGCCCGGAGCTGGTTCCAGCTGATGAGTAGTGTGGAAAAGTAGTGAATCAGGCCTCAAGTTTGGCTACTAGTGCTGGCAGGGTCAGTACTGCTGGCGTCCAATTTACTAGCCAAAGTTTAGCCATAATTTTTCCTTCTAACTGACCATAAATTTCACACATTGAAACATCATTTGTATTACAGCCAAGTAGAATTAATTTTGAGTACAGAGGAAGCTGTGTTTTTAATAAAAGGCCATCTTTATAACTAATCCAGTAGCACAAACATAGTGGTATCTTCTACTGAAAGAACAGAAGCAGCAAATTACTGTTGTAGTCATAAGGAAGGTTATCAGACAATTTTGTATTTAATAACGGTATAGAAAAGGCCTGATCCTGTAGGGTGCTGTATGCTCTCCACTAGTTTCAATTTTTTTTACCAGTTTTTGAGATACCCTCACCACTACACAGAGTCAACACCTTGAAATCATTAGGCAAAAAGCAGAGTATAGGAAATAAAGCATGAGAACAGCTTGCTTGTTTGTAAGAATAGCTTTTGTGGCCCAAAAACTTGGGTATATGTATTCTTTTTTGTGATAGTTATTATTTTAACTCCAGTAGTGGTCTCTGTTTTTATTGAATTTGTAATATGTGCTGACTTTGGATGCACAGTTTCAAAGTCTTCTGCTGATGTGAGATGAAAATTTGTGCTCTCTTTGGTTCATGCTATGTCTTCTGTCACTGCAGTGCCTGTATAAACACGGTTGATGGTATGTAGTAGCTTGGTGTGAGATAAAACCCCAGCTGTTTCAGAAGATATCGCCTGCTGCTATCAAGAGGTTCAGGTTAGCAATTTTAAGTGTTACAAGGACTTATGTTTTTTAACTGCTTTCCTGAAGAGAAGGTGGAAATATACGTGCCTGGCTATTTTAGGAATCATTCTTTCTTGAGTGTGCTTATACTTTATGAAATGGGAGCTCAGGGAATATGGATAATAAAGCCGAATTATCATCCTTGAGTGTTTGTAGATTAAGGATACTGTGTATGAGTGAGTCATGGTAAAAGCTGAATTAGGTTTAAAATACCAGCAGGAACAACAACAACAGAGGATAGCCCAAGCAGGTGTCAGTCACATCATTGTAATTCTCAAGGGATTTGGGTACAGTTTAAGATTTGCCTTCACTGATGTGGACACAACACACCACCAGCCAGCCAGCTTCCATGATCCCTCCTGCTGACCAGTCCATGAAGAAATAGCTATCTGCCAAACAAGCTGTTTGTTTTACTTCAAAGCCCCAGTGGGCCCAGCCCTTCCTGCCTAGCAGCTGCAGCAGGCTCTGTTCCTGCCTGGCCTGGGAAGAGATTGCTCACTGGCCCAGGAGAGTGGTTCTCCTTAATTGGCTTGTGAGGAATGCTGTGCGAGAGGATTTGGCCTTTTTTTAAAATTGTTTGTTTTATTAAAGTTTGTTTATTAAAGTGAATATCTAGTCACAATGGAGACATGTTTTTTTGAAGCCTGTGTGTTGCCAGGAGAGCAGCATAGAGCACTGATCAGGTTATTGCTTCCCCAGGATCAAAAGT